AAAATAAAACTCATGAAATTTTCCTTTGATAACTTACCTCGGGAATATCCATAGTGGCCGATATCGACCCTCAGAAATCGATAACGAATTTTCTGAGGTCGATTAACATTGGCTCATTTAATCCAATGTATATGACAATTTAAGATGTATATTTTCCACACTAAGTTGATATTTCCTATAAAAACGGTGTATGAATTAATACTTGCTCGCGTTATTAAGTATTCATCAAAAAGGAGGAGTGGATAAAAGGTTGAGGAATCCTTGAAGAAATTGAAAATCCAAACAATTTGGGAATCCCCGATTTACATACACTTCAATAATTGATGGTTGAAATTGAACATGCAGGCTTAATAAGTTTATCTACAATAATTGTGGTATAATATTTGCACGTAAAAAATTAATTAAAACATTCTCATAGGATTTACTTTTTAAAATAATTTAAAAATTTATGTCTTTGATTTAGATGATCAACATTCAGAAAAGATACACAGGTCCAGCAATAGGTGTTGCACTTCTTCAATTTGTAATTAAAAGAAATATTGTTATTAAGGCAAGTTTTTAATTATTTTTATTTTGTTGTAGTTATTCACTAATTTACGTTATAATTACTTTGACCATTATTACAGTTATGGAATTCCATGGTGGATTATTTTCTCTTTCTCCTAAAGTTCGAGAACATAAGAGGAGGAGCGAAATGTTCGAAAGGATTACTTGAATCTTACTGATATCATCCATTAAATACTTTCTTAACCTTGGAATACACAATTGAGTTTAGAAGCACCCTAGATGTTTCATTATTATTACTAATGTGACTAGAGGGTGGAGGCACCAGACCGGTGATGCCAGTCAGAACTGACACCACTGTGACCTTTTAAGGCAGATACAGCGGTCGGATTCGGGAGGTTGGACGTCTAAGAGACAACACAGCCGAAAGAGGTGCACACTACCACTCAATTAGAAAGAAATAATACCCGTTTATTTATGTAAATTATTTACACGTATTCGCAAGATACCAGAGAGTTCCGTTATAGCCTCATAAAATGGATAAAGCTTATGTAGCGTAACATAATCATACTTTATACTAAGTTAACAGGATCTTAGCCGAGAGAGAGCTTACATTATTTCGCGCGATGCTAAATACCTTGATCGGTCGAATCGGCTTGACCGAAGTCGTGAGGTCTAAAACGGAGTGGAGAGGTTTATTGGATTGGGTAGAATTAGGCTCCTTGATGATACACTTTACGTTCAAATGTTCGTTTCTACGATGTCTACGGCAAAGGGCAGTCGAAGGGTTCGGCGATGGAACACATAAAAAAAGGACAGAGAACTCTAGTTGTCGGTTCCGATGTTCGTCTTTTATTTCGGGGTTTTTCCCTTGATTTCGATGCCTTTTTTAGGCAATGTCAAGTTTTTTGACCGATAGATGGATTTCGGATGAAAGTTCCGGGTGACACATACACTCGGAAGATGTCATCTTTGGAAAGGAAGTACTGTAGTTCCGGGAAAAAATTTTTCTTTATATAACATGTGAAATCTAAACGTTATTCTTAATTAATTTGATATATTTTGTTGTGGTTAATTAAAATTTCCACCTCATCCGCTCTCTCATACTAGGAGTTCTGTGCGCGCATGTGTAATTGTGCAATAATGCTTTTTGTGTTTTCTGTTGATAAGATAATGTTTCATACATAACACACGCCAGAAAAAAGGCATAACTTATTACAAATATTCCGACTCAACCTTTTCGTTTTTTAAAATGTCACACCGATTCTTTTTATAATGAGAAAAAATACCAATGGGTATCGAATATTTTTAAGTAAAATTTCTCTATAAGTTGTACTAAAATTTATGGTGAGAATTAAAAATAGATATAACAATTTATCTTGGAAACTTTCGAGTGCATAAACACACATCATCTCAATCGGCCAACAGAAATCTACTTATATTAATCCGTTATCCTGGTCGAGTGTCCTACAAAAAAGTTTCCAGATAGAATCCACCAGTGGGTCGTTCCCAAATTACACCCATACAAATGTACACCCAGTGGCTACGCGGATTCGATCCCTCTTAACACTTGTTCTTGTACCGGCTTCTCGCTTGGTGCTCCATGAAGTTTTCTGGGTTTACGCCAAGTCGATAAAACCCGAATTGAAGCCAGTTTCCCTTAATTAAAAGACCTCCAGAAAGGCACCATCCCCTTGACCTCCAGAAAGGCACCATCCCCTCTCCATCCCCTTGACCTTTTACAACCAAAATTTAATAGCACCAATGACCCTTATATACAAGCTACCGTGCCAAATTCCGTGTCTTAATATCTGAGGCCGGGGTGAAGATCAAGAACGAAATTTGGCAAGATAACTCGTATATAAGGGTCATTGATGCTATTAAATTTTGGTTGTAAAAGGTCAAGGGAATGGAGAGACAGATGGTGGTCACGTGTCGTATCTGGCGAGAAGTCGGACTTAACGAAAATTTTTCTTGCATTAATTGTAGCATCTAATACATATGTGACTTGAACGTTGATGTTAATTAAGCATAATATACACTAAAAGAATTGTTGTTTGTTATACTGTAGTCGTTTTTTAACTGACAGTGTTTTGTCCATCAGTTTAAAGGCTCATTTTTTAAGATGGCGTGTCGGGTATTATGGAATACTAGGATAAATGGATAAACTGAAAGAAAAGGACAAAAGAAGGAACCAGAAGCTTCAAAACTACAAAAGAAACCGAACATTCAAAGATCACTGTTAAGAAATTAAACTTAGACCGACCTTCTAGACCTAAACCTACTAGAGATGACTCCAGTATTAGCAGCGATGAATCGTTCCATTCTGATGTATCATCTGTAATGGACTTCGTGCCATCAACTAAAGAACCAGAAAACGAAGACGCTGAATGTATCTTCTGTAACGGAAAATATTCCGAAGATGAACGAGAGAAAATTTGGATTCAATGCTTCAACTGTTCTCTCTGAGCTCACCTTGATTGTACCGGAGCAAAAAAAGAAAATTATATCTGTGACTTTTGTAGACTCGAAGCAGGAATGGCATGAACATAATCTTATAAATATGATTTTTATAGTTAAAAATAACTATGTTTTATGAAGTCTAATTACTTTTTTCAATCGTTTAAACCACCTGTTCCAAATTACCAGACTATTCCATATTACCCTCCATTTATGACTTTAAATAATTTTTTTTTATAACAAAATAAATAGTATTTTTTTTTTTACAAGTGACAGTTCATTACAATTAGTTATAGATTGTACTCATGATGATTATGGGATTTTTATTCAAAAACCAGTAAAGTTATTTTTAGAAATGTAAATGGTATTCCATCATACCCTCCTCTCCACTATATTCTCGTGACATACCCTATTAAAACGCAATCAAAAACGTAAAAAACCGCATATGCGCCTGTAAATCTTGCACGTCGCTTTCTCTTCACATTTCCATTGTTGATACTTCCATTGTCGAAACCGTAATCCTGTCCCTCTCCCCCCGGAAGGAATTTCGAAAAATCCCTCCTTAGTGTGCGTTCTCGTGACGTACCCTGTGTACCAAATTTCAACTTTCAACTCCTAACCGTTTAGGCTCTGCGCTGATTATTATTATTATTACCATCAACCCGTCTCGATTATATATATATACATTTATCATCAAAATAACTGAATACATTTAAATTTTGATACAAGTTATTTTTACAATTCATTTTTCAGACGCAGCGTGAGCGAAATCTCTTCTACGTGGTGTATAGAACTGCATTTATTCTCAAAAGTTAATTGCGTTATTTTGATTAAACTTTGCTGTTTTCTATTAATTGTGATGAAAAAAATATATATAAATTAAATAAGAAGTGGAGGTATTGACATAGTTTTCGAGATACAGTGAGGTCAAAGTGAAAATGTTGATGCACCTTGACACAAGTGAGCGCGCTTAGCGAAATTTAAGGAGGAAAACAAATAAAAAAAAAGCATTTTGCAAGCCTAATAGGAAATAAGCATGAAAAACGCACAAGAAACAAAGCAATCGACATCAATTGCTTTGTTCCTGCAGTTCTTGGATCACTTCTTCATGTAAGTGCAAGGATCGTCTCTTCCATAGACCAAAATTTAACAAATCAATGCTGTGTTATCCTACGGGCAAAAACAACAATTGCCTGGGGCCCCAAACCAATCTTTTATAAGAAAATATTTTCCCTTAGGAAAATGTCTTAAGTCAACACGGTTGTCAAGTCAACAACAATATTGTGCCTTCTAATTCATATTTGCCTGGACGTCCATCAAGATATAACGCGCCATCCAAACACCTGGGGCCATATTCTGGTCACTGTCTCGGATCTTTCGCAAGCCGGTCGCTGATTGGCTAATCCAAATGATTGATCAGGGGCGATATTCTGGTCACTGTCTCGGATCTTTCGCAAGCCGGTCGCTGATTGGCTAATCCAAATGATTGATCAGGGGCGATATTCTGGTCACTGTCTCTGGTCTCTCGTCTCTCGCAAGCGACTGGCTTGCGAGAGACGAGAGACCAGAGACAGTGACCAGAATATCGCCCCTGATCTTTCGTGTCCAGATGCAAAAATCGCCTCTTGCTTTCTGGTTGTTCTGTCTCAATTGTTTCACGATAGGACAAAGTCGCTCGATGTCCTGGTAAAAATTTGGAAACAAAACAAGTTTTTATCTCTCTGAGGATTTTCCTATATTAGGAAAATTTCCCAATTGTAAATGAAACGAAATGCCATTCAAAAAAGTAATAAAATAAATCTCCAACAATGTGCTTCTGTATTTTAAACACTGTTACGTTCTCATGCATATCTTCTATATTTACCACATTGAAGCAAGTACGAATAGTTATAATTTAGTAATGTTTTGTTTAAATTGTTTCACGCATTTCACAAGAAAAATCCTATTGTGAAACATGACTTCGTACTGAAGTTTAAATTAATATGTGAACAGAATTTATCAAATTCTTAACGCTTGAATCGGTATTTATCCACATATGACTATTTATAACACACTCCTAAATAACCTTTTGCAAATTCTGCATTGATAAATTCCTCCTGAGGAAGGAAAAGTATTGTTGTTTTACAAATGTAACAACAGATATATCTTCAATACTTCCTAAGTCTGTTGCTTGTAATATATTGATAAGGTAAATTGCTTGGTGTTCAATTTTAAACAAGAACATTTTACATGTTATTATGAAATTTTATTTTAGTCAGTCTATTTTCTGTTTGATAATTTGTTTTTACATTAGTTGCAACAATGTTGTTTGGTTACATGAATACCTTGATGCCTTAAGAAGATAGTTTTAAGATAAATACACTTATTATGATTCACAAATATAAGAAAAACTGTACTCATCATAAGTAGTTTCATGAAGTTCTTTAGTGTAGAATGTATATATCTCACAATAAAAGTCTTATGTCAAGGCGAGTTTTCTGGTAAACAATTTAACTTGTGGTAATTTTTCGATTCCTTTTTACAGAGTGAACTTCTCAATATAAGTTTAGTTTTCAAATAGTTTTCAACAAAATCTTTTTACTTGCCTACTTTATGTTGAAGAAGGCGATGTCTTGTTAAAGCACTTTTATGTCTAAAAGTTTGACCACATATTTCACAAAACTGCTTACGTTCTTTGCTATGTACTAACTTATGAACATTTAAACAGCTCGTTGTTTTGAAACCCCTGTCACAGATCTCACAAGTATATTTATATTCGTTGCTGTGTATTCTGACATGAGTCTTTAAACCCCGCCGCGTTTTAAAACTTGTATTACATACCTCACAAAAATAACTTCTATTGTTGTGAATGAGTTTATGATTTACCAAACTGTGTTTTCTTTTAAAACTCCTGCCACATATATCACAAGAATACTTATATTCATCATCATGAGCCTCAATATGAGTTTTAAAACACTTTCTTGTTTTAAAACCTCTAACACATAAAATACAGAAATATTCATATTCATCCCTATGGGTTTCAGCATGATTTATTAAATTGGTTTTCGTTTTAAATCTCTTATTACACACATTACATTTGAACGGGCGATCTTCACTATGCGTTACCAGATGATTTCTGAAACGAGATATATGTTTAAATTCTCTTTGACATATGCTACAAATATAAGATGAATGTGTTTTATAGTGCTTCTTTAATTGGCTCTGTGATATAATGCGTTTACCACAAATCTCACATTCAAAGGGCTTCGATTGCTCAACAGGTTTTATAAAAAACTTTGGTGACGTTGTCTTCTCAAATATTCTTATGTTTCTGGCTTCCAATGATTTTTGTAACATTTGCATTTTATTGTAGTGTTCTTTGTTGTGTCTTCGTAAAACAAATTCCCAGTAAAACATCTGATTGCAGGTTGTGCATTGAAATGGTTTGTTTCCAATATGAAAGAACAGATGGGCTCTTAATACTTTGTAATTTGTGAAAGGCTGGGTACATAAATTACATGTGAACTTTTCTTTAAAATGAAATGCACACATTATCTTGAAGTACTTCTTTTTAATATTCCATTGTATTTTATTCAAGTTTTTAACTGAAAAACAAAACCTCTTCCTGTTGGTCTCATCTTTATAATGCTTTGTTCTTTTTGAAATGTGATGTTCTTTATTCTGTTCATCCTTGTTAACTGAAATTAAAAAAAAACATAATAAAATTATTCATATTGCAGTAAACATAACATACAGTCTGAATGCAAGAAGGTGCATGAGTGTCTAGTAGCAGTCCTACCGATTCAATTGAGTCTAGTAATCACCCAATCAGAGCAATCGTTACAATAGCATATGGTTAAAATGTATTTACACATTAATACAGTTTAGAATAGGTTTTGCCTGCTTTTGTAGTAATTGTCATACAGATTTTATACACAAAATTTAAATTCAATAATGAGTTTGATATGTCATAATTATGGTATATCAGATACTTTTCAGTTTTGCAGACTCTATTCAACTAAAAAGAGAAGAAGACACCCTCGAAAATGTTTAATTCTTCATTTGAATTTGATGTAATGCATAACCCAGACTATAACAATCACCATCATTAACTTAGAAATATGTTTTGACTAACTTTAGGTCCAATCCATGCCTACCAGGTCATTCACAGTTTGCTCATGCACTGTTCGGAATCCATTCATTAATTGTGTCCGATGTACTTATTTACAAGTTTTGGTCTAGTGTATTGCACACAATTGATATTTGAGTGAATTGTAAATGGCTTGGTAGCACAAATCAAGCTTTAATGGCAAGAGTCAGTAGTGAGACATTTGACCATCTGCAGGGCAAAGATAACAAAACACCTCTCAGACAATAGACAAAAAGTATACCTACCCAACTATAACCATAAATGTACTATATGGTCTATAAATTTAATTTCTATTTAATCTCAATTAAATTTATGTATTAGTAATACACGAGTGCTAATATACCACATAATAATATCAAAAATACATTGCAAACAACCTCTGTAAGACAGTAATATCTCTTACAATAATAAAAACCATGTCCCTTGAAGAACAAATAACTGCATTTTCATTGTGTTTGCTTTGTGTATTTTCCTATAAACTACTTTTAGTGGAAGTTTTTGAACTAAATTTTGTTTAAAAATCTTTCTGCATCCTTAACATCTGTATACAGATTTTGCTTATTGGTTTCAGAGTCCAGTGCTTATTAAGTGCTCAATGAACATATGTTAAAAAGAATTTATAACTTAAAAGTTGTGCGCCATGTATTTTTGATATTGTGCTGTCCAAGATGAGCACATACACACACTGATACATAAATTTAATTAATATTAAATAGAAATTCTACCTGTATATCATTATTTCTATTAATCTTCTTTATGAAAAATAAATAAAACTAATATACAATAAAATGGAATATTTGTCATTCAAAAACCCTAACAGATAAATTACATTTTACATAAATTAATTTACATTTTACATCCATTTTTCTCTTTTACACCCAAATCACTTTTATAACAGATATCCTTGTTAAAAGTAGAAGCTTCTACCATTGCACATTCATACGACTTAAAGTAGCAGGAATGTCACATTGTCACACATAGACTGATGTTTCAATATTCAAATTTAAGTATATTACAGTATAATTATAACTTATACAGTTGTAAGTGTTTGTTAATTTTCCTGTAAAAATAAGGCAGTAGCTTAATGTGTTGATTCTTCCAGAAATAATACATGCTATTTTCTAAAATTAGGACTATTCAAGAATTACATCATCGATTTATGGCGGAGGGCAAGTGTTTGATGGGGTGTAAGATTGCATCCATCATTTATTTTTCTTCCCAGTCATTACAAAATTGTCTGAAAATAATTCTTGGGCATAAATAAAATTTACAAACATTAACGTGTTTTAAACATGGTTTGAAAACTGTTACATTACTGATGTTTTTCAGTCCCCTTCTAGGACCTTCCAAGGTAGAACCTTTCAAAATCAACTCTTTCCAGTGCTAGTAGTGTTCTAAATGTATTAAAACAAGCAAATGAAAAAAAAACTATTAACTAACTAAGAGAGTATACATAAGAAAGGTGGATGGGAAGCAGAGTAAAAGTAAGCTGAGAAAATGTTGGTTGGAACAAGTGGATGAGTATCTGAAAGAATGTGAGGATGTGTGCTAGAAGAGTCGTGAGTATGTATGAAGCAAAGGTGGTGTGTCTGGACAGAATATGTGGAGAAAGTTGCTGAATTGATAGTTTATAAGATTGTAGTCTCCTTCTGGCTGCTGCTCACCCTTTCTGGATTATGAGTATGAGGACATGTGTGTATGTCTACATTAAAACAAAAGTAAATCAAAAAAGATAGATATGATCCATTGCTATTTTTGTTACCATCTCTAAAATCAAACATTAAGTGCAGTATTGATAATGTTATCATAATGCTGTCATCACTTTAGTCAGTAACATTAATGGAAACCAATAATACTATAACTCTAATATTTAGAAAAGCATTTACCAAATAAAAATTTGCTTACTTTGGACGTTCACTTTATTTCTGTTAAATGTTTTGTTGGGAATGAAGAAATTAATCTTCTTGATAAGCTAAATAATAAATAAACAATACAAAGCAATATATTTGAAACTGTTAATAAATTTACAAATAATTTAGTAAAATATACTAATAAACCAAATATAAAAAATATTTCAATTTATCCATTGCAAGCTTGATCAAGCACACAATAAGCCAAGAATAAAGACTCGCTTAGCATGTTTTTTCCAGACTTATTGTGTGCAAAAATAGCAGAAGGAAGCATAACTATTGAAATGCAGAAACAGAGAAAAACTGAAACACAGGTTTATTAGGAGAAAAATCAAATACTGAGAGATAAATTCATGCTAATAGTACATAAAAGAACTGCATGAGTTTTACTAATCTTAAGAAGTATGTAGGTGTATGAATGTTTCCCAACTTCATACATCATCTCTTAATGTAGCACTTACAATTGAATTTACAGTCCATTGAACCTGATTAAGATCCATTAACCACTCAGCAGTGACTGAAAAAATATATCCGTGAAGGGCGATCGTGTGGCACTGGTAAATGACAGCCATATTCTTTTGCGGATATCACCAAAAACTACCGCAAAAAAATTCACATAAAAAAGGAATTATGTAACAATAAAAAAAGGTCTTTTCTTTACTAGACATAACTGTTTACAAAATCTTTTTCCGAAACGGTAATAAGAAAAAACGTGTGAAAATACTTTAAAAATTTCCCACATTTATTCTCCACTACATTGGGATAGCACCATATGTGACTAACCCACTGCTGAAAGGTTAAGAATGGAGTGGTGACATCAGAGATACTACTCAAACTGGCCACCCCCCAAGCATTGATGTTCAGAGAGTCACAGTAACTGTGTATATCAAGTGTGTCTATATTATCTTTGATAACTGAAACAGCATTTGTCATCAGAACAATAAGCAGATCACGAGATGAACTGAATCTTCTTAGGTACACCTCATGCTTCATCCAATCACATGTACAACTCAACATACTCTACAGAGTAGGATCTGGATCTCAGTACAACTATTGACATTTGTGCATTTTTCCCAGAACCATTAATTTCCAGACAAGGATGCTCTTGATCATTTTACTCTTCTTATAGTAAATTGTCTCCCAAAATATTTACTTTCCTCCTGATACACCTTGAATGTATAAATGCGGTTTTTACAATTCCCATTTAATACAAAATAGATCTAAATTTTGGAAATAATTTTATAAAACTGATTATATTTACATACTTTTTCAATAACTGAACAAACTAATATCAAAATATTTCTTATAGTGTAAAATATTTCAAAATTTATATTACTTACATTTAAGTGTTTGTATTCATCTGGAAGGAGAATAACTTCTTTACCATCTTCAATCTCTACTTTAATATTCAATCTCTTCAAAACAACTCGACATTCTGATTTAATAAGATATTTAGCATCATAATTCCTGTCTGTTTCTTCTTTCTTATAATCTAATTTGAAGTTTAAGAAATTTGTTACTTAAGTAAGTTGTAAACAAACAATTAAAAGAATTACATAAAATTTATTTTTATAATTTGGCAGAAAATTCATTAACATAAAATTATATGCTTTTATTATATACTTAATTTGTGGTTACAAACCAAAACACAGCAATCTGCCACTGCATAATCACAATACACAGCCAGCTGGATGGTCAAGACAGTTAAGCATTAGTCTGTTTGCTCTGAGGACCTAGGATTGTATCTGGATCATAAAAACACCCCAGGATTTTGGTCTGTCCTGAATATATTGAACCTGGCAGAACTTGCAGTGGGGTTGAAATAAACACCCTCTTAATGCCAAGAAATGAAAGTGCAAAAAATCATGATCTATGATAGAAAACCTAAGACAATAACTTCTAAAGGAAAATCACAGTTTAGTTTAAAGATTGGAATTGTTTTTATAGGTAATAACATAATGAGAAGTAAGAGTAAGATAATTTAAAACAGCTGACTCTTGTAAATGTTAAACAGCAATGATCATGAAAACAAAACTACAAAAATATCTTTAAACAGTGAAAGACAGCAGATGGCTGTGCGGTCAAGGTGGCAGCCTACCATCAAATGCAGATTGGTCAAAAAACCCCAGGAATTTTTCAGGTGGTGGTCCATCTAGATATATTGATTCCCGTCCTTCACCACCTGGCAGCCCCATTGTGGGCTAACTATAAGAGGCCCTCTTAGTAAGAGATAGAATTACAAAAACTAAAACTAAACAAACAGTGAAAACAATTTTCATCCATCAACACATATTTACAAAAGCATATTAGTTGATAGAAATAATTACAATAAATAATTTTGTTTCAAACCTATTATTTTTCAATTTTTCAATAAATTATTTATAGGAATCATTCCCATTCATATTTGCATTAATTGTAACTAATTTAAATACGAATGTCAATAAATGAAATTATTTGACTTTATTAATGAAAAAATAGCTTAAGAGAAATTATTTTACTGAATTTTTACTTTCCTGTGCTGAAATTTGTTTACAATTTCTAAAAGCATATCATCATATTAGTAGTATTATCAATGGAAACTATATAAAAGTCATATATAAAACACTATCTACAAGCCCAATCTACAGTACAGTACATATATAATAAGCCAACAATTACCAGATTATATAAAGGTATTATATTGCATTATTTTAAATTAATTACTAAATCCTTTGTCACTAGAGAAAGGCATTAAGTGGCATCTTTTATTAGATTTAATAATTATAATTAAATTAAATAATTTAGAAAATTCTGCAAAAAGAAATGAATCATTGAATAAAAGATCAGACTGGAGGCTTGGGTAGTGTAACTAGCAATGCATCCACACAGTAAGCAACAGCTGCGGGTTCGAGTCCCGCTCCGAGCCAATTCTTTTCTTTCAGAATTTTCTAAATTTAAAATAATCCTGATAAAACCCGGTAATTGTTGGTTGTTTGGCTTATTACATATATAAAAATCAGGTAGGTTACCAAAAAATTTCTGGGTGTGAGTTATCTGCATTGCTAATAGCTTGAATAGAATTAACATATCCTAGGTAGACTACTGTAAAAAAAAAAACAAAAGCCCAAGCTCACTAGCAACATATCGTTGTACACGAAGCTGCCATACCAGTATACCAGCTTATAATATATCATATAAAAACTAGTAATACATTAGAAATGTTTGAAAAAAGTTAAATTTTATATTTTATTCTTTATCTCATGACTGTTCACATGGTGTAGTACTTGTCTGCTGCATCTGTTTTGGGTTTCATCTAGTTGTCAATTGCTTGTGATGTGTACTTATGTTGTTTACTTTAAATCTTTAAATTTAGTCTAATGGCAGCAAGCAGAGAACAAGGGGCAGAAGAGCGTTAGTGTGTGAAACACCACTCCTGGTTACATACGTGAAAAATATATACTATAATATATATTTATTATTGTATCATGCAAACTGAGCTCCAGTCACCAGACAGAAAGTCAAATTCCTCTTCAACTCTGTTATTCTCAATTAAGAAATCACAAAATTTGTGAATCATCAATTAGAAATTTAGAATCATGGTAGCATTTTTAAAAATATATTTCTGCTTCTAATTATAATTAAAGTAATTTTGGAAAAATGTTTGAGGTATTGTATAAAAGATTAATATTATAGAATTATTCTTAAATAATAAAATTCAATATTACATGGCACAATTGCAGACACATGTAGTCTGTCTATCAGCAATTGATTTAATATATCCTAAATTAGTACTTCCTAAAGTGGCTGCTACTGTCCCATGGAGTGATGAGTTAATCTGAGGGGGTAAAAAGAAGCAATGGGACAGTGGAAGCATTGGGGGTAAGACCAAACAGAAACCATAGGCAATGGTTTGGATCACTGACAATCTTTATCTTTTCTCTGTTAGAATGGGTAATAAGAAACATTTAATGGTTTCTAGATGATGACAACAATGTACAGTAAGAACACAAAGGGTGAGGTTGGTAGAAAAGCTTTTCTAAGAATGCTTCCAAGCCTTTCTAACAGGTGAGAAAATGGGATGAGGTGTTAAATGTAAGTTTATGGAACTAGGGGGGCAGTGGCTCAAAAAAGTTTGTTAATCACTGTCCTAAATGATTAGTTTTCCCCAAGAATAAATTGTTAGAAACATAATCTAACAATCATGCTATAACTCCACTAATTTAATGATTAATACTAAATAATTTGCTACTATAGGTAGATGTTAGGCACCAACACTTAGTGGAGTTATAGCCCAATTATTTAAGGTAATCATTTGGTTATGTTTCTATATATGTATCAAGCTTTGCAATGTTTGATAAACTTGAAAAACTTGTTATAACTTCTTCAGAGTGATATACATTAAGAAAATTCAACTAAGAAGTGATCAACAAAATTACTTATATACTACAGAGAACACTTCTAAATGAAATAGAAATGCTTACAATTTCAAATATCATCTAATCTATGAATTTATAAATTACATTTAGATATACATCACCATTTCACACAGCAGAGTCAACCTTTCTTTTCAGGCTACTTTCCCCGCCTACATTTATGTAAATCAGGTAAAAAGTTCCTTGAATATGGATTCCATCGTAAAAATTGTTATTTTACAACTTGCATCGTTATTTTATAATTTACAATTGTTTACAAGAATTCGTATTCGTATAGTCTGTAACACTTTGTATTTTTACAGTGTATTTTTTTTTTTTTTTTGGAAAAAATTAATGCTAAAGTTTAAATAATAAATAGCTTCATGAAAAAAGTTATAAAATCATTTTATTAATAAGTTCAACATTTATTATAGTTTTTACAAATTTGAACTGGTTATTTCTCAAAATAAAAACTGATGTTATCAAACTAACATTTCTATTTATATAATTATAATTGTATTTATATGTTTAACTACTCTTCTAATCTAATAAATATTATTAATCATCTTACCTTCACTATTACAACCAGAATTATTCCAAATATTAGAACTCTCTGTTACTCCTTGATACTGATTTTCCATAATTATTTAACTGAAATGATAAAAAAAAATTACATTACATTAATAGAAAAGCTAAATTTTATACAAGATTGCTTAAAAAATATTGCAAGTAAAATAAAAATTCCTTTTATTTAATAAATTTGTTAAAAATAATAACGTTTTATCTTAATCGTTCTATTACAGAAATTCATTCACTTTAAGTTTAATAGAATCAAAGCAGAAAGAGAGTTTAAATTCCATTAAAAAACACACGTTTGAGCACTTTTCCAGCAACATCTTTCTTTTAAATATTTTTGAGTCCCTTGATAGGCCTGCCTTTGTTAGAAATGTCAAGTCACAATATAAACCATCACGTACTCCAAAGTTAGAAAATACATGGTCACAGAAATCCTGGTCATCACATAATTTTCAAAATTTAAAACCTGTAGAAGGCACATCATCACATAGACTAACATTCCAATTTAAAACATCAAAGCTTGGAATCTTTCACAGATGATGCTGGGTAAGTATTCAAAGGTGTGTCGTGTATGTGATGCATTCACTTAACTGAAAACGTAAAGAATTGTGATACAATATGAATATGTATGTGTGATTCGAAACGTATGATTTCACTCCTTAACTTGTTTGCATTGACTTCAGCTTTCAGGTTATTTGTAATTCAAAATAATTATATTCTACGTAGAGTCAACATTTGATATTTTCTTTTAAGAATAAAATTAAACTGTTTTTAATGAAATATATTCCCTGCATACCATCTTTTATTTATTATGAAATATATCTAATAATAAGTTTCTCAAGTTTGTTTGTAAGATCTCTTCCAAGCTCTACAAAGTTCATACTACCTCAACATACATCTGCAAAATTCTCCAAGATCAACGTACCAATTTGGATAAAATTGAAATTATTTAGTGTCCACCAAGAATATTATAGTCTACTTAAATTCTGATTAAATTCATTAGATCATTTTGAACTTATGCAGTAGGCATTTTGTCACTTTTTCACATAGATTTAAAACAAGAGAGAATAATGACACCAAGCTACCAAAACATCTAGGAGTCTGCATATGATTAATAACTCTTTCCAGAACTGACCACCTCTTATGTGGTCCTTTTTGTAGGTCTCATTTAAAAATATTGAGTATTTATAAAGTAATAGCTCATTTTAACATATTAATAATAGGTATTAGTATTTAATAATATATAATTAGTCAATCAGGTATCATGTGACATGAAGTTCAGACATACAATGATAATATGGCACTTAGTTTAGTGCTAGAAATCTAGAAATGACAGATTTTCTTACTGTGACGTCATTCTTTTTCATTTCTCTTACAGTATAATAAATTTGCCAAAATTAAAATGTTTCTCAATTGCCGTAGAGTCTTCTCCTTTTGCTAAATGATCTAAAATTGAGATTTTCATTTTCAAAGACATTGCTTATCTTCGCTGTTTCTTTTTCTCCATTGGGCCAAATAAAACTCTTAGAAAATAAATTAGAAAAATTTAGACTTATGATAATGAAAAAACAAAATCCACTTTACATGCAAAACTTAACTTCTCAACACTCACCATTTATATTACAATGCAAAAGTCAAAATCTGCTGCTTATTACTGTTACGTGTGATCCTGGTTAAAATTTACATGTATTCATGTTTTGCACAGACCACCCCAGTGTGAATTGCTGGGAGTCTGCAAAAAAAACACAAATACATGCAAATCTTTTATCAGCAAATACTGCACATGAGAATGTATCAAACTATGTGCAATAAAATATCTTTTTAAATTTTAATCCACATATGTATATTCAAAGGGAAAATCCCAAATTTGGATGAAATATAAACTGCATAAAAAGAGACCTGACTATATTAATTAATACAAGCTTAATGATTTCAAAATATAATATTTATAAAATAACTAGCTGCAAGAACCCGCTTCGCTGGGCAAAAAGTAAAGATAGTGAAGATTAAAATAATTACATTATAGTCAATCTTACCCGTTTTCACAGAATGCAAAAATTAGGTACCCCGTTTCCAGACTAATTAGAGAATTTTTACGTCCAGTCAAACGAACTATTTTCAATTTGATCAATTTTCTGGAATGTTTACAATCGTTCTATAATCGAACAAATTCGAATACAAATTCGAATTCGAAAATTTTTAAAATCGAAATAGAAAATATTCCAGTTTCAACCACTTTCAAGCCCATATCTCCCACACCCTTATAGCTATCCAGATGCAACCACCATAGTGCACGAATAAAGACTTGGGCTACTACCACATACAAACACCATTCATGTGCAATGTGTAGTTTTGGCTGAAAAGTGAAATATAGAGAGACACACGTCCATTTATATATATATATAGATGTCCCATTTTACTTTCCTGAATGCTTTGTACATATAACAATGAAAAGTATCATAATCGTATCAAATTTGGTCCTCCCTGTTTTCAGATCATTTGTTTACCACTGTTTATAGAAGATAAAATGTTTGTTTCTCTCTCTGTTATTAATTAATGTTTTGGTCCATCTGCACCACATTTTTCATACGTATTCTCTGGGACCTGAGGAAAACATAGACAACCATAAAACCTGAATGTCCCACTCTTATCCTGATTTGATCTCCTCGACCTTTTGCGATCAACATAATGGCTAAAATAACCAAACCTGTAATATAGTTTCAATTTTAAAGTTTAGTCTTCTTACTTTTTGACCAGGAAATATGGAACATATGTGTTAGTGATTAATAAAAACAAATAATTATGAACTTGAATAAAAATATAAATTTTTCAAATACTCAAAACTAATTTTATTATTCCTAAAAACATGTGGAATATTTTCATTTAGTTTAAGCTCAAATACAGATAAACAATTCCATAGAATGCCATATTCATAAAAGTACATAATGAAAAATGTATTTCATTGGAATTCTCTCAACCACGGGCTTTTGCAGAAGGGGTTAAACAGAAACTTCCCTCTACCTGTGATTGAGTAAAAAGTTCCAAAAATTTTAAGTGATGATTATATCATAAAAGCAATTCAGAAATGTAACCTTACACCCGCGACCATAGGACACTTTGTCTGTATTTTTGTATTGTATAATCTACTTGTGAGAAAAATGCAAAAATTAAACAATGATATGAAAATTTATTGATGTAATTATCTCCCTCCAAGCATCCCTTCTAAAAGATTTTCTGCAGATGACAATGACTTCAACACTCGGTGCGGAACTATTCTTAGTAGTTCTGATACAAAGTTACTCACCTCTAGTGTATGGAATTAGGGTGCATTACAAAAATATAATGCAACCAGGGACAGATCTACATAGGGACAAAAGTTAAATTATCATAAATTTTTAATACTTTTTCATTAACAATGAGCACTTATCGTATAGTAAAAAATAGTTAATATTAATAATATAATAATAATGATAATTTGAAGTATTATTTATTTTATTGTAATCAATGTAACGTAATTGGTCAAGTTGAAATTTTAAATCCACTGTCTCCAAATTCGAATACTACGAAAAAACTAATAATAATGGCCAGCCTGTCTTATAAGGCAATGGCAATTCTTAATCTAACAAAAAATGGGGCTCCAATGGACTTCAATACACCCTAGGATATGAAAAACCTAGATCCTTCCCTGAATGCAACCTTAACTTTTTGGAATAATAAATTTTTATCACATGTAAACGAAAAACTACTGACAGAAATATAAGTAGATGTAAAAGAATTACTTATTCTATTTACAATCAAAAATAATAGTGTTGCAAAAATATAAGGCCAGTTACGTTTTTGAGCAATTTATCAAAAGAAAATTCACTATCACCTATAATTTGATAATTATAAAGAGATAGCAGTACTCCATTATTGCAAATAAAAACATAATTAAATTTATATCATTATTAATTGTTGTGATACCTCTAACCATTGTTAAAATTACTTAAGACCTAAACTGCTTTTCATTGTGGCAAATCAGAGCGCTACATCAAGCTGGAAGTTCTGCTAGAGCTATTGCAAAGCGACTGAAAAGATCTTGTTGTGTTGTATCAATCATATTAAACTTAATGTGTAATATGGAAAGAAAAAACAAATAGAATGGCCAGTGCTGTAACTAGCCATTCCTGTGGCCTGTGCAAGAATTTGCAATTAGGCCCCTTAATTAATTAGGTTTGGGAAAAGAATAAAACAAATATATGCATTTTGGACTCCCCTTCCAAGTGGGCCCTGTGCGAGTGCACCTGTTGCACTTGCCTACTTACGGCACTAAGGATGGCCTTCCAAGTTGACAAGAAATCAAAAATCAGCAATTACCAAGGAAATATCAACAGCAGGATCATTATTAGGTGAAATGGCAGAAAGGCCTGATCTTAATATTCCACACTTTTCCAGATGGTGAAATCAGCCAAACTCCTACTGTATAAAAATAGAAAAGCAGCACCATATCTAAAACACTATCTAAAACATAAAAGACTGATATGGGCCAAAGATAACATGTCACACACTTCAAAATCATTACTTGGACTGATAAAAACAAAAAAAGTTCAATTTGAATGATCCCAACAGTTGACAATTTTATTGATACAATATTAGGAAAAGGGAGATTTTATTTACCTAGTGTCAGCAAAAAGGGAGATCAGTTATGATCTGAAAATGCTTTGTATGGTCTAGAAAAAGTAATTTAACATTCATAAATGGTTGAAAAAAGGCAGCTGGGTATCAAAATCTTAAAAATGTATATCTTCTGCCATTTGGAAACAAAGTTTGTGGTCCATTCTGGCAATTGCAACAAGATAATGCAGCAACTTACAATGCAAACTTCACTTATCAGTGGTTACTGAATAATGGCATTCAGGTCATGAATTGGCCTCTCTATTCCCTTAAAGTCATTTTATCTACATTAATTTAGCTGAACTTTAAAACATCTTTGAGCAGTATAAGTGAAGGAACAAAGTAAGGCACAAAGTAGAGCTCAAAGTCTTATTCTGTGCCAACATTTATTTTTCCTATATCGACCTTCCTTCGTCCAAAATTTCCCGTAGCATAGTCTGTAATGCACACTTTATTCACACATTAATCAGTATTCTTACGCCACAAATTTCAAGTTTCCTTTATTTAGATGTTTTCACCGAGCTTTACATTTCAACCTGGTTCCACCAAATTTTTTATGGGATCATTATCAACAAAAATGCAACTTATACTGACAACTGATGTTTTTTTTATGAACTTCAATCTCCAATTGCCTTACTAACTTTGTCATTAAGTATTCAGAATGTCTACATTGCACTAAATATAACCAGGGATGAAAGAGATCAAAAAGAATCAGAAGGCAGACAATTTAAATACTAAAAAAAGCAAAAATACAACAGACAAGACAAAACTGCCACGCCCACAACAGCCTACTGTCAACAGAAAATGGCCCGAAAACACCTAAACTGCACAAGGTAAGTGCACGAAACTTAATAACTAACAACAAACAGCTTACAGAAAATAAATAAAGTAGAAAATGTCCAATTATCTGAACAATGCTCTAATTTAGCACCTTTCTGTGCTATCCCAGAACACAGAAAATGACAAAACAGTACGAAATTAGTTACAAGCAAGAATAAAAAGCCAAAAACACTAAAAGAATGACGAAATAATACTTACAGATCGCAGACACAGGGACCATGTGTGACGTAAACACAAACTTTTCCAACGCGATTGTCGACTTTTGGCTAAAAATACATTTAAACTTGAAATATTTATAAATATTTAAACTCCGTTACCAACGCTGAATTAAATATCATATTGCCTGTTCGAAACGTCAAACGAAAACATTACTCGAACTTTCATCCAAGTCGTGCACAAAATGCTAAGACCGACGCCATATTGAACGACGTATCGCGCACCCTATGATTATAAATCCCAATCGAAAATAATTTTTAAAATTTTTTAACTTTTTTTTCCCTTTAAATTTAAAAGTTATTAATTCTCGTTAAATAAATTTATGAGTGAATATCAGTTTGATTTGGGATATTATTACTAACTTTATTGTTTTCTATCAGGGCTGCGGAGTCGGTAAAAAAACACCCGACTCCGACTCCAGCAAAATTAAATACAAAGTCATTATATGGGGGCAGAAACGCTCATAGGGAGGTACCCTACTCTGAACTGTGAAATGAGCCCCGGGCATTTACCCAAATACTTTTATAGTTAGTATTTTTAATATTTAACTTACATTAATATTTATTTGTATAAAAAAAAATTTATTTTTAACAAACATTTAATAAGAGAAGAAAGGGAGCAACAAAATTCTACATTTACGTATCTTTATTCTACAGTATATTCACTTCAATTTCACCCTTGAAGAAAAGTTAGTCCAAGCAGAGTCGATAGATTAACTGGTCTTTTGACTAATAGTTCAAACTTAGCTAGAGACAATATTTGCCGCTAGTTGGCGCCACTGTTAGCAGGAGGGCGTTGGTCTTGTTAGGTATATACTGAAGTCAGTGATTTTGACCTATAATAATTGTTTTTTTTCTTAGCTACATAAAAAATGCCAACGTGCTTTGTGCCAGGATGCAAGGTAGGATATAAGTCATCGAATGAGAAGAGACATTTCTTCCGTGCTCGTAGCGATAAGATTGAGGAGTGGACGCGATGCATTCCACGAGACGACAAGACGCTAACAAATAAATGCTACGTTTGTGACGTACATTTTGCGAGTAGATTTATTTTAAAAACCTCCCATGTTATAAATGGAGAGAAAATAGAAATTCCAAGAGATCGCTGGGCATTAACGTCGAATGCATATCCATCGAACTTCTCTAATTGTCCTAAGTACATTAGTAAGTCTGTACCTCAAAAACGATCAACGCGATGTCTCACAAGAAATGAAGAACCATCTAGGAAGGGATCAAGAAAAGACAATACCAAAGGTAAATACAGTAGATCCCCCTATAAGACTGGTTCCTATAATTACGATTCCTATAAGACGGCGAAAAAAATTGTGGCGGTTTCCGTACACAACGGTAAAAAAACTCTTATAATTACGTAAAACGTCATATAATGATTTGAAAATAGAATATTTATAAAATAATGTCCCATTTTACTTTCCTGGACGCTATGTATACATAACAATGAAATGTATCATAATCGTATCAAATTTGGCCCTCCCTGTTTTCAGATCATTTGTTTACCACTGTTTACAGATGATAAAGTGTTTCTCTCTCTCTGTTATTAATGTTTTGGTCCATCTTCACCAAATTTTTCATATGTATTCTCTGGGACTCTGAGGAAAACATAGACAACCATAAAACCTGAATGTCCCACTCTTATCCTGATTTGATCTCAACCTTTCGTCATCAACATAATGGCTAAAATAACCAAACCTGTAATATAGTTTCAATTTTAGGCCTGCCTTTGTTAGATATGTCAAGTCACAATATAAACCATCACGTACTCCAAAGTTAGAAAATACATGGTCACAGAAATCCTGGTCATCACATAATTTTCAAAATTTAAAACCTGTAAATGGCACATCATCACACAAACTAACATTCCAATTTAAAATAACGAAGCTTGGAATCATTGACAGATGATGCTGGGTATGTATTCAAAGGTGTGTTGTGTATGTGATGCATTCACTTAATTGAAAACGTAAAGAATTGTGATACAATATGAATATGTATGTGTGATTCAAAACATATGATGTCACTCCTTAACTTGTTTGCATTGACTTCAGCTTTCAAGTTATTTGTAATTCAAATAATTCCATTCTAACTAGAGTCAACATTTTGACATTTTCTTTTAAGAATAAAATGAAACTGTTTTTAATGAAATATATTCCTTGCATACCATCTTTTATTTATTATGAAATATATCTAATAATAAGTTTTTTGAGTTCATTTCTCAAGTTCGTTTGTAAGATCTGTTTCAAGCTGTACAAAGTTCATACTACCTCAACATACATCTGCAAAATTCTCCAAGATCAACATACCAATTTGGATAAAATTTAAATTATTTAGTGTCCACCTATAGACTACTTAANTCAAGAAAATACTGAACTTAAAATAAAACAGTTGTCGGCTGATAAACTTGATTCCTTACCACGGAGACAGAAACTTGTAATAGAGCACATGCTGAAAGCATGCCATATAAAAAGCAAAAAGGGTATGAGATATGACATTAATTGGTTACTTGACTGTTTGCTTTTAAAAATTAGGTCACCATCTGTCTATGAATTTTTTAGAAATAATGATTACTTGCCTTTACCCTGTCAGTCTACACTGCATCAATATATCAGAGGCATTAAATAAACATTTCTCAGCAATGGAAGGTGTTTAATGTTTTATTAAGTGTCATTTATTTATCCATAAACCTGGTTTTGGGTTTAAATAAAAGCTTTTTCATTCTTATAATAAAATGCATATAGAAAATTATGAAATCGAACTCGAAGGTTATATATCTTTCAATAAAAAGAAAACATTCGATCACACAGCGATTCGATCTAGCGCTATTGCTGTGATTGCAGTGCACCTGGTGGTAATATTAGTCTATAGTTTATTTTAGCAACGTGCGAAGATAGGAAGTCGAAAGACCAGTTAATCTACCGACTCTGGTCCAAGTAAAAAGTGTGCAATCTAGTTATTTCAGCCCCTTGTTCAGAAAAGAAAAATAAATACATTGATCACTTAGTCTGGCTCATTTATAAAAATAGATTAATTATTTACAGCAGAGATAATAAAAAAATGATTTAAAAATATTCAAGTTCAATTCGATCAAAATAATTTAACTACTAAACACAAATACTACAACGAAAAAAACTACATATTTAATAAATTAAATTGCTGCATTTTTGTATTTAAAATAAATGAATTTTAACAAAATACAAAACATTTTAAAAAATTAATAAGAAAATTTATTTTATATTTTTATTTAAATAAAAAAAAAACTAAATTACATTTATAATTTTGAATTTTATAAAATGGTTCTAAGAAACAAAATAGCTTCAATTAAATCTTCTTTCATAGATGCCCTTAAATCAGCTTTAATTATTTTCAAAGCTGAAAATAATCTTTCCACACTGACTTGTGTTGGGGGCATTGCTGTGACAGATCTAGCTGCATCGCGAATAATTTCTGGATAAATTGAAATAGCTTCTTCTACGTTCAATTTTGATAAACGGTCATACTTTTCTATTTCAATTAGCCCATTTAAAAAATTTTGTTCAAATTTTATTTTTTCAATTTCTGCCGGGTTAGTTTCTTGATTCGTTAAACGTCTTCGCTTCACTTTGAGACGTTCTAAACTATCCAAATATGCTTCGAAATCAAGCTCTTTTTTTGGAGATGATGATTCCGAGTTGTCATTACATTCATTATTTTTATTTTCATCTTTTGATTTATAAATGTAAGGTAACGGCAACTTTTTCAAGCGAATAGCAATTTCACGAAGCTTTTCTTTCCCTGAGGCAATTTGATTGTCATTTAGTAAAATTCGATTCATTGGATCAACGTAAATAGCGGCTAACAAGATTTTATTGTCTAACAACTGAATCTCTCTTTTTCTCATTGAAGATAAAATCGCATTAGCAACAATTCCTCCAGTTTTGTCGAGCTGATGCATCAATGTTTTCCACTGTAAGAAAAAATTTCCAGGTGTCAAATCTTCAGCTTGTAACTTTAAGGTGACAGTATAAGGGTATGACAAGACACTCTCTAATTTTTCTGTTTGTTTCCATTGGTTTTCAGTTAATAAAACACTTGGATTGTCAAGGTCTTCAAGGAAGGTTTTCAATTCGAGCAACCGCTTAACCATTAAATAAGTGCTTCCCCAGCGAGTAGATTAATCTAAAATAATTCCTTTTCTAGCACGCCTTCTCAGAATAGCATCTATTTTAGGGGTTCTAGCTACAGTAGCTACTTGTCTTAATTTTGTAATGATTTTAGCTACCTGAGAGTCTTTTAATCCATCTCTTATTGCTAATTGCAACGTGTGAACAGCACATCGCATATGCTGGATTTGAAACATATTGGACGCTTCCTCCACAATATCATCTAAATATTCCTCTTTTTCTATTATAGGCTCGATTTGTGTGTCAATGGAGAATATTTCATGAATGTCTTCTAATGGAATCTCATTATCTTGATTCATTTTCTCAGTTATTTTTAACATATTCGAAGCATTATCTGTTACAATACACAAAATATTCTCCTTTTTAATTTTAAAATCTTCTAATACCTCTTGAACCAACTTCTGCAGATACTCTCCTGTGTGATGAGCNCCGAGTTGTCATTACATTCATTATTTTTATTTTCATCTTTTGATTCATAAATGTAAGGTAACGGCAACTTTTTCAGGCGAATAGCAATTTCGCGAAGCTTTTCTTTCCCTAAGGCAATTTGATTGCCATTTAGTAAAATTCGATTCGTTGGATCAACGTAAATAGCGCCTAACAAGATTTTATTGTCGAACAACTGAATCTCTCTTTTTCTCATTGAAGATAAAATCGCATTAGCAACAATTCCTCCAATTTTGTCGAGCTGATGCATCAAAGTTTTCCACTGTAAGAAAAAATTTCCAGGTGTCAAATCTTCAGCTTGTAACTTTAGGGTGACAGTATAAGGGTATGAAATTTATCCAGATGGAAATAAGAAAAATTTGATTGTTTTTTTTTTTTTTACATGGTTAGCGTAACATAATTGTATTTTATACTATGTTAACGGGGTCTTAGCGGAGACAGAGCTTACATTATTACGCGCGATGCTAAATACTTTGATCGGTCGAATCGGCTTGATCGAAGTCTTGAGGTCACAGACGTCCGGATGACGGGGCGGAGAGGTTTCTTGGTTAGGTAGAATTAGGCTGTTTGATGATACAGTTCACGAACAAATGTTCGTTTCCAAGGCGTCTACGGCAAAGAGCGGTCGAAGGGACCGGCGATGAAACACACACCTAGAGAAGGAGGACAGAGAACTTTCGTTGTCGGTTCCGATGATCGTTTTTTATTTCGATGCCTTCTTTAGGCAATGTCAAGTTTTTTGACCAATAGATGGATTTCGGATAAAAGTTCCGGGTGACACATACATTCGGAAGATGTTATCTTTGGAACGGAAGTTGTTCCGGGGAAAGATGCGATCACATCTTTCCATTTTTTATTAAGTGTTGGGAAAATTTTTCTTTATATAATATGTGAAATTAAAGCGTTATTCTGAATTTATTTGATATATTTTGTTGTGGTTAATTAAAATTTCCATTTCATCCGGTCTTTCACACTAGGAGTTCTGTGCGCGCATGTGTAATTGTCCAATGATGCTTTGTGTTTTCTGTTGATAAGATAATGTTTCATACACAACGCACGCCACAAAAAAAAGGTATAACATATCACAAATATTCCGATTCAACCTTTTNAAGAAGGGTCCCAATTGTAAAATTTAACCATTAAATGGATTATTGTTGAAAGAGCATTCAAAGTAGCCATGAAAACAATTAGAATGCTCGCGTGGAGTTACGCGGAAGTATAAAAGAACGCACCCTTTATTACATTTCATGTTGTACGTGGGTTTTACCCAATTCCCGAACCGTGTTATAGTGAACCCGTGCTATAGAAGTGCCGTGTTATACGGGGGGTTACTTGTACTTATTTAGAGCAGAGATAATAAAAGAATGATTTAAAAATATTCAAGTTCAATTGGGTGAAAATAATTTAACTACTAAACACAAATACTACACCGAAAACTAAAAATTTAATAAATTAAATTGCTGTATTTTGTATTTAAAATAAACAAATTATAACAAACTACAAAACATTTTTAAAAATTAATAAGAAAATTTATTTTCTATTTTAATTTAAATAAAAAAAAAAACTAAACTACATTTATAATTTTGAATTTTATAAAATGGTTCTAAGAAACAAAATAATGTAGATTCAATTAAATATTCCTTCAGAGATGCCCTTAAATCAGCTTTATTTTCGAAGTTGAAAATAATCTTTCCACACTTACTTGTGTTGGGGCATTGCTGTGACAGATCTAGCTTCATCGCGATTAATTTCTGGATAAATTGAAATAGCTTCTTCCACGTTCAATTTTGATAAACGGTCATACTTTTTTGCAACCTTACAATGCAACCTTTTTCAAGCTAAAAGCAATTTCGCGAAGCTTTTCTTTCCGTGAGGCAATTTCATTGTCATTTAGTAAAATTCGATTTGTTGGATCAACGTAAATAGCAGCTAACAAGATTTTATTGTCTAACAACTGAATCTCTCTTTTTCTCATTGAAGATAAAATCGCATTAGTAATAGTTCCTCCAGTTTTGTTGAGCTGATGCATCAAAGTTTTCCACTGTAAGAAAAAATTTCCAGGTGTCAAATCTTCATCTTGTAACTTTAGGGTGACAGTATAAAGGTATGAAATTTATCCAGATGGAAATAAGAAAAATTTGATTGTTTTTTTACATGGTTGGCGTAACATAATTGTACTTTCTACTAAGTTAACGGGGTCTTAGCGGAGAAAGAGTTTACATTATTACGCGCGATGCTAAATACCTTGATCGGTCGAATCGGCTTGATCGAAGTCCTGAGGTCACAGACGTCCGGATGACGGAGTGGAGAGGTTTCTTGGATTGGGTAGAATTAGGCTGCTTGATGATACAGTTCACGATCAAATGTTCGTTTCTAAGGCGTCTACGGCGAAGAGCGGTCGAAGGGACCGGCGATGGAACACACACAAAAATGAGGAGGTCGGCGAACTCTCGTTGTCGGTTCCGATGATCGTTTTTTATTTCGATGCCTTCTTTAAGCAATGTCAAGTTTTTTGACCAATAGATGGATTTCGGATGAAAGTTCCGGGTGACACATACATTCGGAAGATGTCACCTTTGGAACGGAAGTAGTTCCGGGGAAAGATGCGATCACATCCTTCTATTTCTTATTAAGTGTTGGGAAAAAGTTTCTTTATATAATATGTGAAATCTAAACGTTATTCTTAACTAATTTAATATATTTTGCTCTGGTTAATTAAAATTTCCATCTCATCCGGTCTTTCACACTAGGAGTTCTGTGCGCGCATGTGTAATTGTCCAATGATGCTTTGTGTTTTCTGTTGATAAGATAATGTTTCATACACAACGCACGCCACAAAAAAAAGGTATAACATATCACAAATATTCCGATTCAACCTTTTCGATTTTTAAAATGTCACACCGATTCTTTTTATAATGAGAAAAAATACCAATGGGTATCGAATATTTTTATGTAAAATTTCTCTATAAGTTGTACTAAAATTTATGGTGAGAATTAAAAACGGATATAACAATTTATCTTGAAAACTTTCGAGTGCATAAACACACATCATCTTAATTGGCCGACAGAAATCTACTTATATTAGTCCATTATCCTGGTCGAGACTCCTGCAAAAAACTTTCCAGATAGAATCCACCAGTGGGTCGTTCCCAAATTACACCCATACAAATATACACCCAGTGGCCACGCGGATTCGATCCCTCTAAATACTGGTTCTTGTACCGGGTTCGCGCTTAGTGCTCCGTGAAGTTTTCCGGGTTTACGTCAAGTCGATAAAGCCCGAATTGAAGCCAGTTTCCCTTAATTAAAAGACCTCAGGTAGGCACATTCCCCGATTGGCAGATCGCCCTATTGTTGCGTGCCAGTTTCATCTAAAACCAATCAATCAATACACATACACACAAATCGAAAAAAAGGGAAGAGTTCGCTTTGGCATACAAACTATAAAAACAAGCTATAGAAAGTACAGTACATCTTAAAAACACAACACCCTTAGTCTGTATAGGGGAAGTCGACTGTTCCATTTGTAATAGACTCGGCGTTTACAGACATGTCGACTCGAAAAAATAACTAATCTAGATTATTTACGGGTCCTCTTCAGTAATGGCCTTGTCCACTCTAATAATAAGGTAGATGGTTGCACAATGTGCAGTACGATTTTTCCTTACTAAACAAGATACATCGACGCGTTAGTTCTATTGCATTGTTTACTTTCGAATATTAAATGCGTAAAGAAATCTTTGTAAAAATGTAATAGAAAATTTACTTTCTAATTTCCTTGCTAATAATTTTTTAAAAGTTTAATACTGAAACACGGCAATGACGAAGATATGAACAATTCTGAAATGTCTAAACAGTTTATTTTATTAAAAAAATTAATTTTACAAACGTATTTATGATTTATCATCAAAATAACTGAATACATTTAAATTTTGATACAAGTTATTTTTACAATTCATTTTTCAGGCGGAACGTCAGCGAAATCTCTTCTACGTGATGTATAGAACTGCATTTATTCTCAAAAGTTAATTGCGTTATTTTGATTAAACTTTGCTGTTTTCTATTAATTGTGATGAGAAATATATATATATAAATTAAATAAGAAGTGGAGGTATTGACATCGTTTTCGAGATACAGTGAGGTCAAAATGAAAATGTTGATGCTCCTTGACGCAATTGAGCGCGCTTAGCATTTCGCTAAGCGGTAGGGGAAAAACAAATACAAAATAAAAAAAGAGCATTTTGCAAGCCTAATAAGAAATAAGCATGAGAAAAGCACAAGAAACAAAGCAATCGACATTAATTGCTTTGTTTCTGCAGTTCTTAGATCACTTCTTCATGTAAGTGCAAGGATCGTCTCTTCCATATAGCAAAATTTAACAATTCAATGCTGCGTTATCATACGGGCAAAAACAACAATTGCCTGAGGCCCCAAACCAATCTTTTATAAGAATATATTTCCCTTTAGGAAAATGTCTAAAGTCAACACGGTATATTGTGCCTGCTAATTCTTATTTGCCTGGGCGTCCATCAAGATATAACGCGCCATTCAAACACCTGATCTTTCGTGTCCAGATGCAAAAATCGCCTCTTGCTTTCCGGTTCTGCCTCGATTCTTTCGCGATAGGACAAAGTCGCACGATGTCCTGGTAAAAATTTCGAAAAGAAACAACAATCTTTTATCTCTCTGAGGATTTTCCTATATTTAGAAACAAAAATTCCCCAATTGTATTTGAAACGAAATGCCATTCAAAAAAGTAATAAAGTAAATCTTCAATGATGTGCTTCTTTATTTTAAACACTGTTACGTTTTCATGCATATCTTCTATATTTACCACATTGAAGTAAGTCCGAATAGTTATAATTTAATAATGTTTTGTTTAAATTGTTTCACGCATTTCACAAGAAAAATCCTATTGTAAAACATGACCTTGTATTGAAGTTTTAAATTAATATGCGAACAGAATTTATCAAATTCTTAACGCTTGAATCGGTATTTATCCGCATATAACTATTTATAACACACTCCTAAATGGCCTTTTGCAAATTTTGCATTGATATATTCCTCCTGTGGAAGGAAAAGTATTGTTGTTTTACAAATGTAACAACAGATATATCTTCAGTTCTTCTATAAGTCTGTTGCTTCTAATATACTAATCAGGTAAATTGCTTGGTGTGCAGTTTTAAACAAGAACATTTTAAATGTTATCATGCAATTTTATTTTAGTCAGTCTATTTTGTTTGAAAATTTGTTTTTACATTAGTTGCAACAATGTTTGGTCATATGAATACCTTGATGCCTTAAGAAGACAGTTGTAAGATAAATACCCTACTATGATTCATAAATATAAGGAAAACTGTACTCATCATAGGTAGTTTTGATGAAGTTTTTTAGTGTAGAATGTATATTACATATCTCACAATAAAGTAGTCTGACGTCAAGGCGTGTTTTCTGGTAATCAATTTAACTTGTGTTAATTTTTCGATTCCTTTTTATAAAGTAAACTTCTCAATATAAGTTTAGTTTTCAAATAGTTTTCGACAAAATCTTTTTACTTGCCTACACTTTATGTTGAACAAGGCGATGTCTTACTAAAGCACTTTTATGTTTAAAAGTTTGACCACATATTTCACAAAAATGCTTACGTTCTTCGGTATGTACTAACTTATGAACATATAAACAGCTCTTTGTTTTGAAACTCCTGTCACAGATCTGACAAGTATAATTATATTCGTCACTGTGTATTTCAACATGAGTCTTTAAACCCCGCCGCGTTTTAAAACTTGTATTACATACCTCACAAAAATAACTTCTATCGTTGTGAATGAGTTTATGATTTGCCAAACAGGGTTTCGTTTTAAAACTCCTGCCACATATATCACAAGAATACTTATATTCGTCACCATGAGCCTCAATATGAGTTTTAAAACCCTTTTTTGTTTTAAAACCCCTATTACATAAATTACAGAAATATTTATGTTCATTGCTATGAGTTTCAGCATGACCCTTTAAATTTTTTTTCGTTTTAAAACCCTTATTACAAATGTTGCATTTGAACGGGCGATCTTCACTATGCGCTACCAGATGATTTCTCAAATGAGATATCTGTTTAAATTCTCTTTTACATATGCTACAAATATAAGATGAATGTGTTTTATAGTGCTTCTCTAATCGGCTCAGTGACATAACACGCTTACCACAAATCTCACATTCAAAGGGCTTCCATTGCTCAACAGGTTCTAGAAGAAATTTTGATGACGTTGCCAACTCAAATATTTTTGTGTTTCTGGCTTCTAATGACTTTTGTAACATTTGCATTTTATTGTAGTGTTCTTTCTTGTGTCTTCGTAAAACAAATTCCCAGTAAAACATCTGATTGCAGGTTGTGCATTGAAATGGTTTGTTTCCAATATGAAAGAACAGATGAGCTCTTAATACTTTGTAATTTGTGAAAGGCTGTGTACATAAATTACATGCGAACTTTTCTTTAGAATGAAATGCACACAATATCTTGAAGTACTTCTTTTTAATATTCCATTGTATTTTATTGAAGTTTTTAACTGAAAAACGAAACCTCTTCCTGTTGGTCTCATCTTTATAACTCTTTGTTCTTTTTGAAATGCGATGTTCCTTATTCTGTTCATCCTTGTTAACTGAAATTTAAAAAAACAACATAATGAAATTATTCATATTGCAATAAACATAAGATACAGTCCGAATGCAATAAGGTGCATGAGTGTCTAGTAGCAGTCCTACCGATTCAATTGAGTCTAGTAATCACCCAATCAGAGCAATCGTTACAATAGCATATGGCTAGAATGTATTTACACATTATTATAGTTTGGAATAGGTTTTGCTTGCTTTTGTAATTGTGATACAGATTTTATACACATAAAATTTAAATTCAATAATGAGTTTGATATGTCATAATTATGGTATATCAGATACTTTTCAGTTTTGCAGACTCTATTCAACTAAAAAGAGAAGAAGACACCCTCGAAAATGTTTAATTCTTCATTTGCCTAACAAGTAAACTTGTCACATAATCAAATTTGATGTAATGCATAACCCAGACTATAACAATCACCATCATTAACTTAGAAATATGTTTTGACTAACTTTAGGTCCAATCCATGCCTACCAGGTCATTCACAGTTTGCTCATGCACTGTTCGGAATCCATTCATTAATTGTGTCCGATGTACTTATTTACAAGTTTTGGTCTAGTGTATTGCACACAATTGATATTTGAGTGAATTGTAAATGGCTTGGTAGCACAAATCAAGCTTTAATGGCAAGAGTCAGTAGTGAGACATTTGACCATCTGCAGGGCAAAGATAACAAAACACCTCTCAGACAATAGACAAAAAGTATACCTACCCAACTATAACCATAAATGTACTATATGGTCTATAAATTTAATTTCTATTTAATCTCAATTAAATTTATGTATTAGTAATACACGAGTGCTAATATACCACATAATAATATCAAAAATACATTGCAAACAACCTCTGTAAGACAGTAATATCTCTTACAATAATAAAAACCATGTCCCTTGAAGAACAAATAACTGCATTTTCATTGTGTTTGCTTTGTGTATTTTCCTATAAACTACTTTTAGTGGAAGTTTTTGAACTAAATTTTGTTTAAAAATCTTTCTGCATCCTTAACATCTGTATACAGATTTTGCTTATTGGTTTCAGAGTCCAGTGCTTATTAAGTGCTCAATGAACATATGTTAAAAAGAATTTATAACTTAAAAGTTGTGCGCCATGTATTTTTGATATTGTGCTGTCCAAGATGAGCACATACACACACTGATACATAAATTTAATTAATATTAAATAGAAATTCTACCTGTATATCATTATTTCTATTAATCTTCTTTATGAAAAATAAATAAAACTAATATACAATAAAATGGAATATTTGTCATTCAAAAACCCTAACAGAAATATGATAAATTACATTTTACATAAATTAATTTACATTTTACATCCATTTTTCTCTTTTACACCCAAATCACTTTTATAACAGATATCCTTGTTAAAAGTAGAAGCTTCTACCATTGCACATTCATACGACTTAAAGTAGCAGAAATGCACATTGTCACGCATGGACTGATGTTTCAATATTCAAATTTAAGTATATTACAGTATAATTATAACTTATACAGTTGTAAGTGTTTGTTAATTTTCCTGTAAAAATAAGGCAGTAGCTTAATGTGTTGATTCTTCCAGAAATAATACATGCTATTTTCTAAAATTAGGACTATTCAAGAATTATATCATCGATTTATGGCGGAGGGCAAGTGTTTGATGGGGTGTAAGATTGCATCCATCATTTATTTTTCTTCCCAGTCATTACAAAATTGTCTGAAAATAATTCTTGGGCATAAATAAAATTTACAAACATTAACGTGTTTTAAACATGGTTTGAAAACTGTTACATTACTGATGTTTTTCAGTCCCCTTCTAGGACCTTCCAAGGTAGAACCTTTCAAAATCAACTCTTTCCAGTGCTAGTAGTGTTCTAAATGTATTAAAACAAGCAAATGAAAAAAAAACTATTAACTAACTAAGAGAGTATACATAAGAAAGGTGGATGGGAAGCAGAGTAGGAGTAAGCTGAGAAAATGTTGGTTGGAACAAGTGGATGAGTATCTGAAAGAATGTGAGGATGTGTGCTAGAAGAGTCGTGAGTATGTATGAAGCAAAGGTGGTGTGTCTGGACAGAATATGTGGAGAAAGTTGCTGAATTGATAGTTTATAAGATTGTAGTCTCCTTCTGGCTGCTGCTCACCCTTTCTGGATTATGAGTATGAGGACATGTGTGTATGTCTACATTAAAACAAAAGTAAATCGAAAAAGATAGATATGATCCATTGCTATTTTTGTTACCATCTCTAAAATCAAACATTAAGTGCAGTATTGATAATGTTATCATAATGCTGTCATCACTTTAGTCAGTAACATTAATGGAAACCAATAATACTATAACTCTAATATTTAGAAAAGCATTTACCAAATAAAAATTTGCTTACTTTGGACGTTCACTTTATTTCTGTTAAATGTTTTGTTGGGAATGAAGAAATTAATCTTCTTGATAAGCTAAATAATAAATAAACAATACAAAGCAATATATTTGAAACTGTTAATAAATTTACAAATAATTTAGTAAAATATACTAATAAACCAAATATAAAAAATATTTCAATTTATCCATTGCAAGCTTGATCAAGCACACAATAAGCCAAGAATAAAGACTCGCTTAGCATGTTTTTTCCAGACTTATTGTGTGCAAAAATAGCAGAAGGAAGCATAACTATTGAAATGCAGAAACAGAGAAAAACTGAAACACAGGTTTATTAGGAGAAAAATCAAATACTGAGAGATAAATTCATGCTAATAGTACATAAAAGAACTGCATGAGTTTTACTAATCTTAAGAAGTATGTAGGTGTATGAATGTTTCCCAACTTCATACATCATCTCTTAATGTAGCACTTACAATTGAATTTACAGTCCATTGAACCTGATTAAGATCCATTAACCACTCAGCAGTGACTGAAAAAATATATCCGTGAAGGGCGATCGTGTGGCACTGGTAAATGACAGCCATATTCTTTTGCGGATATCACCAAAAACTACCGCAAAAAAATTCACATAAAAAAGGAATTATGTAACAATAAAAAAAGGTCTTTTCTTTACTAGACATAACTGTTTACAAAATCTTTTTCCGAAACGGTAATAAGAAAAAACGTGTGAAAATACTTTAAAAATTTCCCACATTTATTCTCCACTACATTGGGATAGCACCATATGTGACTAACCCACTGCTGAAAGGTTAAGAATGGAGTGGTGACATCAGAGATACTACTCAAACTGGCCACCCCCCAAGCATTGATGTTCAGAGAGTCACAGTAACTGTGTATATCAAGTGTGTCTATATTATCTTTGATAACTGAAACAGCATTTGTCATCAGAACAATAAGCAGATCACGAGATGAACTGAATCTTCTTAGGTACACCTCATGCTTCATCCAATCACATGTACAACTCAACATACTCTACAGAGTAGGATCTGGATCTCAGTACAACTATTGACATTTGTGCATTTTTCCCAGAACCATTAATTTCCAGACAAGGATGCTCTTGATCATTTTACTCTTCTTATAGTAAATTGTCTCCCAAAATATTTACTTTCCTCCTGATACACCTTGAATGTATAAATGCGGTTTTTACAATTCCCATTTAATACAAAATAGATCTAAATTTTGGAAATAATTTTATAAAACTGATTATATTTACATACTTTTTCAATAACTGAACAAACTAATATGAAAATATTTCTTATAGTGTAAAATATTTCAAAATTTATATTACTTACATTTAAGTGTTTGTATTCATCTGGAAGGAGAATAACTTCTTTACCATCTTCAATCTCTACTTTAATATTCAATCTCTTCAAAACAACTCGACATTCTGATTTAATAAGATATTTAGCATCATAATTCCTGTCTGTTTCTTCTTTCTTATAATCTAATTTGAAGTTTAAGAAATTTGTTACTTAAGTAAGTTGTAAACAAACAATTAAAAGAATTACATAAAATTTATTTTTATAATTTGGCAGAAAATTCATTAACATAAAATTATATGCTTTTATTATATACTTAATTTGTGGTTACAAACCAAAACACAGCAATCTGCCACTGCATAATCACAATACACAGCCAGCTGGATGGTCAAGACAGTTAAGCATTAGTCTGTTTGCTCTGAGGACCTAGGATTGTATCTGGATCATAAAAACACCCCAGGATTTTGGTCTGTCCTGAATATATTGAACCTGGCAGAACTTGCAGTGGGGTTGAAATAAACACCCTCTTAATGCCAAGAAATGAAAGTGCAAAAAATCATGATCTATGATAGAAAACCTAAGACAATAACTTCTAAAGGAAAATCACAGTTTAGTTTAAAGATTGGAATTGTTTTTATAGGTAATAACATAATGAGAAGTAAGAGTAAGATAATTTAAAACAGCTGACTCTTGTAAATGTTAAACAGCAATGATCATGAAAACAAAACTACAAAAATATCTTTAAACAGTGAAAGACAGCAGATGGCTGTGCGGTCAAGGTGGCAGCCTACCATCAAATGCAGATTGGTCAAAAAACCCCAGGAATTTTTCAGGTGGTGGTCCATCTAGATATATTGATTCCCGTCCTTCACCACCTGGCAGCCCCATTGTGGGCTAACTATAAGAGGCCCTCTTAGTAAGAGATAGAATTACAAAAACTAAAACTAAACAAACAGTGAAAACAATTTTCATCCATCAACACATATTTACAAAAGCATATTAGTTGATAGAAATAATTACAATAAATAATTTTGTTTCAAACCTATTATTTTTCAATTTTTCAATAAATTATTTATAGGAATCATTCCCATTCATATTTGCATTAATTGTAACTAATTTAAATACGAATGTCAATAAATGAAATTATTTGACTTTATTAATGAAAAAATAGCTTAAGAGAAATTATTTTACTGAATTTTTACTTTCCTGTGCTGAAATTTGTTTACAATTTCTAAAAGCATATCATCATATTAGTAGTATTATCAATGGAAACTATATAAAAGTCATATATAAAACACTATCTACAAGCCCAATCTACAGTACAGTACATATATAATAAGCCAACAATTACCAGATTATATAAAGGTATTATATTGCATTATTTTAAATTAATTACTAAATCCTTTGTCACTAGAGAAAGGCATTAAGTGGCATCTTTTATTAGATTTAATAATTATAATTAAATTAAATAATTTAGAAAATTCTGCAAAAAGAAATGAATCATTGAATAAAAGATCAGACTGGAGGCTTGGGTAGTGTAACTAGCAATGCATCCACACAGTAAGCAACAGCTGCGGGTTCGAGTCCCGCTCCGAGCCAATTCTTTTCTTTCAGAATTTTCTAAATTTAAAATAATCCTGATAAAACCCGGTAATTGTTGGTTGTTTGGCTTATTATGTATATAAAAATCACATAGGTTACCAAAAAATTTCTGGGTGTGAGTTATCTGCATTGCTAATAGCTTGAATAGAATTAACATATCCTAGGTAGACTACTGTAAAAAAAAAAACAAAAGCCCAAGCTCACTAGCAACATATCGTTGTACACGAAGCTGCCATACCAGTATACCAGCTTATAATATATCATATAAAAACTAGTAATACATTAGAAATGTTTGAAAAAAGTTAAATTTTATATTTTATTCTTTATCTCATGACTGTTCACATGGTGTAGTACTTGTCTGCTGCATCTGTTTTGGGTTTCATCTAGTTGTCAATTGCTTGTGATGTGTACTTATGTTGTTTACTTTAAATCTTTAAATTTAGTCTAATGGCAGCAAGCAGAGAACAAGGGGCAGAAGAGCGTTAGTGTGTGAAACACCACTCCTGGTTACATACGTGAAAAATATATACTATAATATATATTTATTATTGTATCATGCAAACTGAGCTCCAGTCACCAGACAGAAAGTCAAATTCCTCTTCAACTCTGTTATTCTCAATTAAGAAATCACAAAATTTGTGAATCATCAATTAGAAATTTAGAATCATGGTAGCATTTTTAAAAATATATTTCTGCTTCTAATTATAATTAAAGTAATTTTGGAAAAATGTTTGAGGTATTGTATAAAAGATTAATATTATAGAATTATTCTTAAATAATAAAATTCAATATTACATGGCACAATTGCAGACACATGTAGTCTGTCTATCAGCAATTGATTTAATATATCCTAAATTAGTACTTCCTAAAGTGGCTGCTACTGTCCCATGGAGTGATGAGTTAATCTGAGGGGGTAAAAAGAAGCAATGGGACAGTGGGGGCATTGGGGGTAAGACCAAACAGAAACCATAGGCAATGGTTTGGATCACTGACAATCTTTATCTTTTCTCTGTTAGAATGGGTAATAAGAAACATTTAATGGTTTCTAGATGATGACAACAATGTACAGTAAGAACACAAAGGGTGAGGTTGGTAGAAAAGCTTTTCTAAGAATACTTCCAAGCCTTTCTAACAGGTGAGAAAATGGGATGAGGTGTTAAATGTAAGTTTATGGAACTAGGGGGGCAGTGGCTCAAAAAAGTTTGTTAATCACTGTCCTAAATGATTAGTTTTCCCCAAGAATAAATTGTTAGAAACATAATCTAACAATCATGCTATAACTCCACTAATTTAATGATTAATACTAAATAATTTGCTACTATAGGTAGATGTTAGGCACCAACACTTAGTGGAGTTATAGCCCAATTATTTAAGGTAATCATTTGGTTATGTTTCTATATATGTATCAAGCTTTGCAATGTTTGATAAACTTGAAAAACTTGTTATAACTTCTTCAGAGTGATATACAATAAGAAAATTCAACTAAGAAGTGATCAACAAAATTACTTATATACTACAGAGAACACTTCTAAATGAAATAGAAATGCTTACAATTTCAAATATCATCTAATCTATGAATTTATAAATTACATTTAGATATACATCACCATTTCACACAGCAGAGTCAACCTTTCTTTTCAGGCTACTTTCCCCGCCTACATTTATGTAAATCAGGTAAAAAGTTCCTTGAATATGGATTCCATCGTAAAAATTGTTATTTTACAACTTGCATCGTTATTTTATAATTTACAATTGTTTACAAGAATTCGTATTCGTATAGTCTGTAACACTTTGTATTTTTACAGTGTATTTTTTTTTTTTTTTTTGGAAAAAATTAATGCTAAAGTTTAAATAATAAATAGCTTCATGAAAAAAGTTATAAAATCATTTTATTAATAAGTTCAACATTTATTATAGTTTTTACAAATTTGAACTGGTTATTTCTCAAAATAAAAACTGATGTTATCAAACTAACATTTCTATTTATATAATTATAATTGTATTTATATGTTTAACTACTCTTCTAATCTAATAAATATTATTAATCATCTTACCTTCACTATTACAACCAGAATTATTCCAAATATTAGAACTCTCTGTTACTCCTTGATACTGATTTTCCATAATTATTTAACTGAAATGATAAAAAAAAATTACATTACATTAATAGAAAAGCTAAATTTTATACAAGATTGCTTAAAAAATATTGCAAGTAAAATAAAAATTCCTTTTATTTAATAAATTTGTTAAAAATAATAACGTTTTATCTTAATCGTTCTATTACAGAAATTCATTCACTTTAAGTTTAATAGAATCAAAGCAGAAAGAGAGTTTAAATTCCATTAAAAAACACACGTTTGAGCACTTTTCCAGCAACATCTTTCTTTTAAATATTTTTGAGTCCCTTGATAGGCCTGCCTTTGTTAGAAATGTCAAGTCACAATATAAACCATCACGTACTCCAAAGTTAGAAAATACATGGTCACAGAAATCCTGGTCATCACATAATTTTCAAAATTTAAAACCTGTAGAAGGCACATCATCACATAGACTAACATTCCAATTTAAAACATCAAAGCTTGGAATCTTTCACAGATGATGCTGGGTAAGTATTCAAAGGTGTGTCGTGTATGTGATGCATTCACTTAACTGAAAACGTAAAGAATTGTGATACAATATGAATATGTATGTGTGATTCGAAACGTATGATTTCACTCCTTAACTTGTTTGCATTGACTTCAGCTTTCAGGTTATTTGTAATTCAAAATAATTATATTCTACGTAGAGTCAACATTTGATATTTTCTTTTAAGAATAAAATTAAACTGTTTTTAATGAAATATATTCCCTGCATACCATCTTTTATTTATTATGAAATATATCTAATAATAAGTTTCTCAAGTTTGTTTGTAAGATCTCTTCCAAGCTCTACAAAGTTCATACTACCTCAACATACATCTGCAAAATTCTCCAAGATCAACGTACCAATTTGGATAAAATTGAAATTATTTAGTGTCCACCAAGAATATTATAGTCTACTTAAATTCTGATTAAATTCATTAGATCATTTTGAACTTATGCAGTAGGCATTTTGTCACTTTTTCACATAGATTTAAAACAAGAGAGAATAATGACACCAAGCTACCAAAACATCTAGGAGTCTGCATATGATTAATAACTCTTTCCAGAACTGACCACCTCTTATGTGGTCCTTTTTGTAGGTCTCATTTAAAAATATTGAGTATTTATAAAGTAATAGCTCATTTTAACATATTAATAATAGGTATTAGTATTTAATAATATATAATTAGTCAATCAGGTATCATGTGACATGAAGTTCAGACATACAATGATAATATGGCACTTAGTTTAGTGCTAGAAATCTAGAAATGACAGATTTTCTTACTGTGACGTCATTCTTTTTCATTTCTCTTACAGTATAATAAATTTTCCAAAATTAAAATGTTTCTCAATTGCCGTAGAGTCTTCTCCTTTTGCTAAATGATCTAAAATTGAGATTTTCATTTTCAAAGACATTGCTTATCTTCGCTGTTTCTTTTTCTCCATTGGGCCAAATAAAACTCTTAGAAAATAAATTAGAAAAATTTAGACTTATGATAATGAAAAAACAAAATCCACTTTACATGCAAAACTTAACTTCTCAACACTCACCGTTTATATTACAATGCAAAAGTCAAAATGTGCTGCTTATTACTGTTACGTGTGATCCTGGTTAAAATTTACATGTATTCATGTTTTGCACAGACCACCCCAGTGTGAATTGCTGGGAGTCTGCAAAAAAAACACAAATACATGCAAATCTTTTATCAGCAAATACTGCACATGAGAATGTATCAAACTATGTGCAATAAAATATCTTTTTAAATTTTAATCCACATATGTATATTCAAAGGGAAAATCCCAAATTTGGATGAAATATAAACTGCATAAAAAGAGACCTGACTATATTAATTAATACAAGCTTAATGATTTCAAAATATAATATTTATAAAATAACTAGCTGCAAGAACCCGCTTCGCTGGGCAAAAAGTAACGATAGTGAAGATTAAAATAATTACATTATAGTCAATCTTACCCGTTTTCACAGAATGCAAAAATTAGGTACCCCGTTTCCAGACTAATTAGAGAATTTTTACGTCCAGTCAAACGAACTATTTTCAATTTGATCAATTTTCTGGAATGTTTACAATCGTTCTATAATCGAACAAATTCGAATACAAATTCGAATTCGAAAATTTTTAAAATCGAAATAGAAAATATTCCAGTTTCAACCACTTTCAAGCCCATATCTCCCACACCCTTATAGCTATCCAGATGCAACCACCATAGTGCACGAATAAAGACTTGGGCTACTACCACATACAAACACCATTCATGTGCAATGTGTAGTTTTGGCTGAAAAGTGAAATATAGAGAGACACACGTCCATTTATATATATATATAGATGTCCCATTTTACTTTCCTGAATGCTTTGTACATATAACAATGAAAAGTATCATAATCGTATCAAATTTGGTCCTCCCTGTTTTCAGATCATTTGTTTACCACTGTTTATAGAAGATAAAATGTTTGTTTCTCTCTCTGTTATTAATTAATGTTTTGGTCCATCTGCACCACATTTTTCATACGTATTCTCTGGGACCTGAGGAAAACATAGACAACCATAAAACCTGAATGTCCCACTCTTATCCTGATTTGATCTCCTCGACCTTTTGCGATCAACATAATGGCTAAAATAACCAAACCTGTAATATAGTTTCAATTTTAAAGTTTAGTCTTCTTACTTTTTGACCAGGAAATATGGAACATATGTGTTAGTGATTAATAAAAACAAATAATTATGAACTTGAATAAAAATATAAATCTTTAAAATACTCAAAACTAATTTTATTATTCTTAAAAACATGTGGAATATTTTCATTTAGTTTAAGTTCAAATGCAGATAAAGTATTCCATGGAATGTCTTATTCATAAAAGTACAAAATGAAGAACATATTTCAACTGGAATTCTCTCAACCATGGGCTTTTGCACAAGAGGTCAAATAGACACTTCCCTCTACCTGTGATTGAGTATAAAGTTCCAAAAATTGTAAATGATAATTATATCATAAAAGCAATTCAGAAATGTAACCTTACACCCTCGACCATAGGACACTGAGAAAAATGCAAAACTTAAACAATGAAATGAAAATTTATTGATGTAATTATTTTTCTCCAAGCATCCCTTCTAAAAGATTTTCTGCAGATGACATGACTTCAATACTCAGTGTGGAACTGTTCTTGGTAGTTCTGATACAAAGTCACTCAACTCTAGTGTATGGAATTAAGGTGCATTGCAAAAATATAATGCAACCAGGAGTGGTTCTACATAGGGACAAAAATTAAATTATCATAAATTTTTAATACTTTTTCATTAACAATGTGCACTTATCGTATAGTAAAACATAGTTAATATTAATAATATCATAATAATGATAATTAGAAGTATTATTTGTTTTATTGTAATCAATGTAACTTTATTAGTCAAGTTGAAATTTTAAATCCACTGTCTCGGAATTTGAATGCTAAGAGGAAACTAATAATAATGGCCAACCTGCCTTATAAGGCAATGGCAATTCTTAATCTAACAAAAATGGGGCACCATTGGACTTCAATACACCCTAGGATATGAAAAACCTAGATCCGTCCCTGAATGCAACCTTAACTTTTTGGAATAATAAATTTTTATCACATGTAAACGAAAAACTGCTGACAGAAATATACATACATGTAAAAGAATTACTTATTCTATTTACAATCAAAAATAATAGTGTTGCAAAAATATAAGGCCAGTTATGTTTTTGAGCAATTTATTAAAAGAAAATTCACTATCACCTATAATTTGATCATTATAAAGAGATAGCAGCACTCCATTATTGCAAATAAAAACAGAATTAAATTTATTTCATTATTAATTGTTGTGATACCTCTAACCATTGTTAAAATTACTTAAGACCTAAACTGCTTTTCATTGTGGCAAATCAGAGCACTACATCAAGCTGGAAGTTCTGCTAGAGCTATTGCAAAGCGACTGAAAAGATCTTGTTGTGTTGTATCAATCATATTAAACTTAATGTGTAATATAGAAAGAAAAAACAAATAGCATGGTCAGTGCTGTAACTAGCCATTCCTGTGCCATGTGCAAGAATTTGCAATTAGGCCCCCTAATTAATTAGGTTTGGGAAAATAATAAAACAAATATATGCATTTTAGACTCCCCTTCCAAGTGGGCCCTGTGCGAGTTCACCTGTTGCACCTGCCTACTTACAGAACTAAGGATGGCCTTCCAAGTTGACAAGAAATCAAAACTCAGCAATTACCAAGGAAATATCAACAGCAGGATCATTATTAGGTGAAATGGCAGAAAGGCCTGATCTTAATATTCCATACTTTTCCAGATGGTGAAATCAGCCAAACTCCTACAGTATAAAAATAGAAAAGCAGCACCATATCTAAAACACTATCTAAAATAATAAAGACTGATATGGGCCAAAGATAACATGTCACACACTTCAAAATCATTACTTGGACTGATAAAGAAAAAGTTCAATTTAAATGGTCCCAACAGTTGGCAATTTTATTGATACAATATTAGGAGAAGGGAGATTTTATTTACCTAGTGTCACCAAAAAGGGAGATCAGTTATGATCTGAGAATGCTTTGTATGGTCTAGAAAAATTAATTTAACATTCATAAATGATTGAAAAAAGGCAATTGAGTATCAAAACCTTAAAAATGTATATCTTCTGCCATTTGGAAACAAAGTTTGTAGTCCATTCTGGCAATTGCAACAAGGTAATGCAGCAATTTACAATGCAAACTTTACTTATCAGTGGTTACTGAATAATGGCATTCAGATCAGGATTGGCCTCACTATTCCTTTAAAGTCAATAAATCTATATTAATTTGACTGAACTTTAAAATATCTTTGAGCAGTATAAGTGAAGGAACAAAGTACAGGCACAAAGTAGAGCTGAAAGTCTTATTCTGTGCCAACATTTATTTTTCCTATATCGACCTTCCTTCGTCCAAAATTTCCCGTAGCATAGTCTGTAATGCACACTTTATTCACACATTAATCAGTATTCTTACGCCACAAATTTCAAGTTTCCTTTATTTAGATGTTTTCACCGAGCTTTACATTTCAACCTGGTTCCACCAAATTTTTTATGGGATCATTATCAACAAAAATGCAACTTATACTGACAACTGATGTTTTTTTTTATGAACTTCAATCTCCAATTGCCTTACTAACTTTGTCATTAAGTATTCAGAATGTCTACATTGCACTAAATATAACCAGGGATGAAAGAGATCAAAAAGAATCAGAAGGCAGACAATTTAAATACTAAAAAAAGCAAAAATACAACAGACAAGACAAAACTGCCACGCCCACAACAGCCTACTGTCAACAGAAAATGGCCCGAAAACACCTAAACTGCACAAGGTAAGTGCACGAAACTTAATAACTAACAACAAACAGCTTACAGAAAATAAATAAAGTAGAAAATGTCCAATTATCTGAACAATGCTCTAATTTAGCACCTTTCTGTGCTATCCCAGAACACAGAAAATGACAAAACAGTACGAAATTAGTTACAAGCAAGAAAAAAAGGCCAAAAACACTAAAAGAATGACGAAATAATACTTACAGATAGCAGACACAGGGACCATGTGTGACGTAAACACAAACTTTTCCAACGCGATTGTCGACTTTTGG